GAGGTGCTGGAGCGTGTCCAGAGAAGGGCAACGAGGCTGGTGAGGGGTCTGGAGAACAAGTCTGATGAGGAGCGGCTGAGGGAGCTGGGGTTGTTTAGCCTGGAGAAAAGGAGGCTGAGGGGAGACCTCATTGCTCTCTACAACTACCTGAAAGGAGGCTGTAGCGAGGTGGGTGTTGGTCTCTTCTCCCAAGTAACTGGCGAAAGGACGAGAGGAAATGGCCTCAAGTTGTGCCAGGGGAGGTTTAGATTGGATGTGAGGAAAAATTTCTTTACTGAAAGAGTGGTTAAACATTGGAAGAGGCTGGCCCGGGGAGGGGGTGAGTCACCATCCCTGGAAGTATTTAAAAGACTGTAGGTTGAGGCACTTGGGGACATGGTTTAGTGGCATGGTGTTGTTGGGTTGACGGTTGGACTCGATGATTTTAGAGGTCTTTTCCAACCTTAATGATTCTATGATTCTATAAATAATTTTAGTTAATTTTTCTTACTCTGATAGATGGTTCCACTGATGTTTGGGCACAGATAGATTCAACTCATTCCAAAAATGTAACTACATTTCAGGAAAAACATAGCTGATGATTAACAATTTCTTCTGCTATTACAGCAGAGAACAGTACAATTTCAAGGTAGTTTTAAGCACTGGGAAGACCAGTGGTGGAGGTTGACTTGCAAAATCCAAAGCAACTAAAAAACTCTACCCATGGAAAAGTGACCCTAGGACAAAGAACTCCCCTTATTTGATTTTTTTTGTGTGAAAAATGATCCTGTATCAGTCCATTACTCCAGTTTGAAGATCTCTGATTTCATGCAGCATGAATAGACCAGAATGTAATTGTATTGCTTTATTTGTGTGTTGATACTTTGAAAGCATGTAGCCTGTTCTCTATTATCTATGACTCAGGGTGCTCAGTAATGCTAGCTATGTGTAAGAGAAGGGAGTATGATCAAGGAATTGTTTTAATGTCTCCACGAGACCTAGTCTGGCACCAGCTGGGAATTAATTCCTGTAGTTCACTGCTGACCTCACCAGACGCAAGGTGGCTTCTGCAGAGCTGCTTAGCAATCAGTCCTGTATTCTCCAGTGTAAGACTATATCAAGTCTGATGCATGCCTAGGCTGGGCCATGTACGCTTATGCTACTTGAGAGATCATGAATTGGTCTGAATGTGCTGATAAGCACAACTTATCCATCTATTTACTAGATCTGTGCGCAAAAGCTTATGTAATATCCCCATTTCAGGCTACTTCATACAGATTGTGCCAGACACATTACTTTTTATATCCTCGGACAGAACGTGAAGAAACATTTCGAGACAGAGTGCATCAGATGGGTCAGCCTGGGACTCCTCAGCCTGGCTCCCTGAATATGCTGGTGGATGCCTACATGGACCACAAGCGAGGGATCTGAGAATATGTCATAAGGACACGTTATGTTTTAGTGCAGGATTTTGCTGAGGGCAACCTTTTGACTATAGGACATACCACTCCCTTTGAGTTTGGATAGCCTCTTGGTCCTTGACTAGTGCTGTTGCGATCAGGTTGACTGAGAGACACCTTTCCACCTCCGTTAAGAGAGCCAGGCAGAACGCAGAAGTGAAAACTTGACCAAAGCAGTGCTGGTTTTGGAGTCTCTTGCACCTTTCAGCATAGAGCCCAGCCCATTCTTGTAGCACACACACTTTCCTGCCCATAAACCACAGGGCACATTTATCACCCAAGCCCCAGCTCCTTCTGTTTTAGAGCACCTATGGCTCCTGGTGCAACAAAATATTCATCTTCCCTTCCCCTGGAAGAAGACCTCACGCCCTGAACTTAGCTGTTTGTGAAAGGAGGACGTTCTGCATGGTGGCGGAAGTTTGCTTTGTCCAGCGTGCCAGACCGAGGGAGCTGCACCTCTCCAGCTGCTTGCCTGCATGCATGCCACAGCTGCGTACCGTGAGTTCCCGGATTCATTCACTGTTCTTCAATTGTAGTTTTGATGATTGGTACTACCTGCAAGCAGATGCAAAATGAAATTACGTTTTAATCCAGACCTAGAACACTTTTAAGAGAAACGCTCTTATATAATCCCCAGAAAGCAGCTTAGAGCAAGTTTAGGCGAACTCATGGGAAAGGTAACAAGACCATGACCT